GGCTGAATGCCTCCCCATTCGCCGGGACACACCCAGCAATTAGGCAGTCGAGAATGGGCCCGATTCTTGGCACTTTCTTGGGCAGCAGCAGCTACCTTTTCGTCCTTGCATCCTTTGCTTCGAGTGTGCAAAAAAAACTGTCGCACATAAATTTTAATTAACTCTATTTTTAATTGTTGCAAATTTATGTTCGAAGGCGCTCGCACTGCTCGGGGCGAGTCCTTGCAAATGGCAAACGAACAAACCGAAAGAAGGGATCGCTCAAGGATCGGTTCCCTTACTTTTTTTGCGGATGCGATTTCTGCTCTAAATTATTTGCAATAATTTCAGTTCACTTCCACTTCCCTCCCCCCGGCGCATCCTTTCCCCCGGCAGCCCAGCCTCCTTTGTTGTAATTTACTTCTGCTTGTTGGACGCTGCAGACATCTCCCGTCGCGCATCCTTGTATCTGTATCTCAGACTGCATCTGTAGCTGTATCTGTATCTGTAGCTGTATCTGCTCTTCATTATGACATCCATTGTTTCCTTCTTCGGCGCAGCATCCTTTGGGCCTCGTGTGTTCCAGTTTGCTTCCCTCCTTGCCCTCCTGCTACCCCTGCCTCCTTTTTCAGCTTCTTCGTATTATTATTATTTTTTCAGGGTCACTTTTGAGTCTCTCTGAGCCTCTCGTCCTGGGTTCCTAGCGAATCTCCTCCGAAATTGTCTCGTATTTGACAGTTGACAGTTGGTCGACTTTTGAGTTGGAAAGTTATGAGCATAAACATGATATTTGCCAAAAGGGGGCCCCCCGTTATTGCCATTTTTGCCATTTATCCTTTATGTTTCTGCCAACTCACTCGGGCTCTTACAGGAGTAAAGAGAAGTTCAAAAAAAAAAAGTATATACAAAAAAACGGCAGACATCTAATGAGAGCATAAAAAGTTTTAACAACAATTAATCATTTTCGCTTCATTTATGATTTAATGGCATTTTTGGCTTGTGGGTTCCGCAAATGATGATCCTGCCCGCTAATGAAGTCGCGAAACTCTCCCCGACTTTTCCCTTTTTGATTTTCTTTTTTGCAAAACGTAAAATGCTTTCCCCTTGCCTTTATGCAAAACGCAAACAAAGCCGCGCGACAAACATTTGATACACTTTAGGCATTCCTCTCTCCCGACTCCCGAATCCGAATCAAATATCGATAAATTCCGCAAACAATACCCAACATCGGGGGCATTAATCACAGGCAGCGGCCATAAAGCAGCCCTATATCTGCATGCCAGTTCATTATAATATATGTTAGCATATAGACAGTGGAAAAACATATATGCAAAGGCGTTGGGAAAAGGGCTAGGAGCAGGGAACACACGGGAAACAGGGCTGCGGAAAGGGGAAGAGCGGCTCGGAGAGGATCAAGTGGCTATATAATGATAATATCCCAGGTTCAGAAGGGTCAGGTCGTGGTCCTTAACACTTTACTTGATAATTTAAGCACAATGTGGAGTTTTAGGGATTTATATTTTAAATATACAAAAATAGTAAGTAAACATAATTTCAATTTTAAATGTATTACAAATAGAAGGAGAAAAGAATTTGGTCTCCTTAAAAATATATTTAATATATTAAATTCTTTAATTTGGGGGATTACATTTAATAAATAAAGGAAAGAAAATAATATCCTCTTCAAAACATATCAATTTAAAAAAGAAATACAATACGTAATTTAAATTTAAAATCTATAAAAATGCAAATAATTTGCTCTTTTTTTAAATTTATAAAATATATATATTCCATATATTAAATTCTTTAATTAAAGAAATTAAATTAAATGAAAAAGGACCGTCTAACAAACAAACAGAAAAAATAAATAGAAAAATAAACTTTGTTTTTAAAAATATACATATATATGTACATATATATCCTCTAAAATATATATATAAAAATTTAATTTTTCTTTTAAAAATATAAAAGCTTGTATCTTTTAAAAAGTTTGTATCTTTTTACAAAAAATTGCAAAAATAGAAATCCATTTTCTTAGATAAATTACAAATTAAATCAATTTTAAAGGAAACCAGCTTTAAATATATTAGGGATATTATTTTTTTTAAAAGGTAAAAAAACAAAAAGAAAATTAATATGCTTCTTATTATAATTATCTTAAATATAAAACTCAATAGGAACTCACTTTATCGAAGAAAAAAGGGTATATAATTTACCAAAATACCAGGTTTTTACTTAGGTTCTTTACCATATATCAATTCCAATAGCTAAACCTAACCTTAAATTTTCAAAAATATTCTAAAATATATTCCCCTTGAGACTGTGAAATAATTTTAAAACCAGCAACTATTTTTTGGCAGTGCAAAACCCCTTTCAAAACTAGTCTAATATAAATTTCTATAATTTTTTTACTAATTTTGAATATTTAAGGTGTTATAAAATATTCAAAAATATTCCAAAATATATTCCCCTTAAGACTGTTAAGTAATTGTAAAACCAGCAACTATTTTTTGGCAGTGCAAAACCCCCTTCTACACTAGCCAATACAAAAAATCGAGCAACTCTCGCCAGATTTGTGAAAAAAGTGGCCAACCTTTAGCCACAGGCCATTGAGCAATGCAAATTTCCAGATCAGGATATGCAGGATATGCGGAATGAAATAAAATGAAAAGGAGTGAGAGTGAGAGTGAAAGTCAAGTGGCTCTTGGCGACGCGCTCTGAGAGGGTAAAAAAAAAACACAATGCAATTTGCATGGCAAGGATCGCTGATCGGTGATCGGTGATCCTGGCTGCCTGTGCCTGGGTCCTGTGTGCCACGGTCTGAGCTCGTTAATTAAGCGTAAAATCGTCGTAAACTCAAATTGAATTTAAGTGGTTTTTGCAGCGGAGTTCTTTATGCATTTACTATGCATGTTTTCTGTGGCTTTTCTGTGTGTTTTCTGTGTGTTTCTTTAATGTTTTTTTGTCTTCATTTTTGTTTTTTTTTTTTTGTGTGTTATTTTGTCCTCTTGTAAACCGCAGAAAATGCGAGGATTATGGTAATTTTCCCGAAGACAAATCCGGCTACGCCTTGTTTGTCTGAATGCCTCGTTAAATCAAATTAATCAACATAGTTCTATACGGACCCTTCGATTTCCTATTTTCTTTCTTGAGGAAACTATCTCAAAAACGCATTTAATCCTTTTGTGCGGTTATGTAAACAACGATAACTCAACGCCGCAGGAGAAAGGGATGTGCGCAAAAAAAAAAGAGTTGAAATATTGAGGGAAAAATTCCCAAAAATCTACAAAAAAAAATCGCAATGGAACGAGACAATCAATTAACTAACCCCTTGCAACCCTTGCTAAACCAAACAACTTTCACCGCAACAAAAAATAAAAGGAAATAAAGAAAACTAGGAAAGGATAACGTGCGAAATATACGATGAAGAGATTAGGAAAAAGGATAAAGCATTAGTTTGGAAAGGAGATCCCGAAAAAGATCCTAAAGTATATCGAAAGTATATCCACAACGAGATCATCCACTAGATAACCACAACGATGATGATGGTCACGGATACTTTGAGTGATCGAGGACCTCTGACGAGTTCCATCACTTGAACAGCACTTAGTAGACATACACCACTTGAGGATCACTCAGGAGCAGGACCAGGACACAGCTGGTCAATGGGGGAGGAGAGGGAGAGCCCCTCTAGCTCCTCTCACACACACATGTGGGCAGTTATCCTTGATCCTTGATCTTGTCATCAGTAAATCGATCTGCAGTTCATATTTTTTCAATATTTTCAAGGATATTTGGTAGACTCCTTGAAGAGGCAGAGATCTCTGTAAATGAACTAGAGTTTGTGGGAAAGGAAAACTCTACTTTCAACTTCTATTACAATATTACAAAGGGGGTTTTCCGCCCCCTCAGTTTTTCAATATAATATTTTTCCTAAAGGAAATGAATTTAAAACTCTATAAAACTTGCTAACTCGATAATAATCATACTTTACACAAACTTTTCCCAAACAACTGACGCCAGGATATTCGTTACATAACGTTTTTCTAATGCCTTTTTCCTTTTTTCCCACCAGGAAGTGGCGAAGTTTTTCAATTAAAACAAAAAAATTTGCTTTTGCGGCTGCTAAAGAGCCACAATTAATACTGATACCAGACACAAGTGGCCAGGAAGTGAGCAAACCTGGCTAATTAGCCCGGGTTTCCCGTCCTTTTCCCTTATAATTTTCCCCTCTTCCTAGCCAGCAAGTGCTGGGCAAAGCCTGTTGCTGATGACATTCAAATGAGGGGGGGGAAACCAGGAGGTAGAACAGGAGCGAGGGAGAAACAGAAGGAAGCGAACCACGATCACTTCCTTACTCGAGGGAAGGCAGGACAGCCCCGATGGCTATCTATATGTCATTTTCGTGAGCTGGTGCACTGGCTGAGTGGCTCCGAGGGGGGAATACTGTGGGAAAGGATGAGCTGGCTGTGCCAAGACCCATTTATATATATTTCCTGACCACATTATGAGAAATAAAAGCAAAGAAAAAAAGAGAAAATATGAAATCTAAGGCAAATCACATTTAAAATCATATAAATTTTAGTTTCAGAACTTTAAGTAATTATGCTTTTATTTAATTACTAAAAATTATCATTTATATATTTTTATTTATTAAAAAAACCAATGAAAAACCATAGTTTTACTTTAACAACTTTGTTTGCCTTAATTAAATCTTAGAGGCCAAGAGATACTCCACATCTAGAAGATACTATGCACCAAAAGATACTTCCTAGTCAAAGATGCTTCTCAGGGAGAGAGAGGGCTAGACAGAGAGAGAGAGAGAGAGAGAGAGACAAGCCTCCGAGAGAGTGTCCTGCCTGCCACTGAGGGCTGCGCTTGCGCAACAACCCCTAACTCCTGGCAAATACCACGGCCACCCCCGGCTCCTGGTTGTGTCTCCCGACTCCTGTCTCCTGCCGACTCCTGCGGGTATAAAACAGCGCCGCCGCCCCTTACCGCTTCAGTTTGTCAGCCAGAGCCGTCGAGAGCGGACACAGAGTCCAACAGCCATTCCCTTTTTTTTTCCCTCGAAAGACGAACGAAGTGTTAACCCAATATGCTAAAGTGGACAGCCTCGGCCCAGCGCCTGAACGAGTTGCCGCAGGAGCAGGACGTTGCAGAGGGAGGCCAGCGTCAGAGAAGGAGACAGCAGCGACGCCATCGACGTGCCACCATTGCCAATAAGGAGAACGTGCCCGACTATGGCTACACCTCCACACCACTGGTAGTGCCTCTGCCGGCGGTGTCGCGCCTGCGCAATAGTCCTTTGGTCCTGGCGCCACTCAGCGATATCCGTAATATAACCCCAGAGACGGCGGCGGCGACGGTGTCTCCAGCAACGCAGCGGGTCCAAAGTGTACGCTATGCCACCACCCTGCCACGCTTTGCGGAGGACTACTCACCCAATGGGGTGCTCATGCCGGGCCAGCACTTGGCGCTGAGAGGACTGGCTCCCCTGGATCCCTTCCTGGGACAGCCACGCTACATGGCAAGCCAGAGGGAAACCAAGCGCAAGCTGGACGATGATCTGGTGGCCACCATGGAGGAGACACCAATACCAGCTACCACGACAACTTCAGCACCAGTTCCAGCTTCTGCTCCCCTACGTCCCAGCACCCCGCAGCCCGCCTCCACCCAGATGGGTGACCAGACACTGGATCGCCTGATAGACGCCATCCTGGACTCTGCCTGCAAGGCGGATGCCAGCTCTAAGAAAAAGCCACGTCGCTGCCGCTCCACCTTCAATCTGCGCCGTCGCACCCTGGTCAAGCAGCAGCTGGATGCGGATTGCGGTCGCCCAGAGGTCTTGTCGCCCTCCTACGCCCCGGGAGATGATCCTGCCAGCGATCTTAGCTTTGGCATGATAATGCCACTGACCATGACCACACCCGAACCGGCCTCACCTTTGGTGAGGATACCACATCAGGTCCTGGTGCAGCTGCCCACCCCTAAGGCTTCAGGGCCTCAGAAATTGGGTGACAACACCTTCTGCCTAGAGACGCCGGTGAGGAGTCTGAAGAGGAGCCGAGTGGCTGCCAGGGAGGAGGCAAAGGAGTCGCCTCTGAAGAGATACAAGGTGGATGAGCGCAACTATTTTGAGGTGGGACTGGCACTGCCATCGTCCATATATGTGTGAGGGGAGATCCTGCTAGGAGATCCTGGAGAGAAAAAGAAGCTAACGGCGGGAAAAGCCTGAAAGCCAGCTGACAAACGGGGGGAAAACGCTTAACTATGACGCTTAACTAGTTCCTAAGTCCTTTAACTAAACCCCAAAAATCCTGTAAATATTTATATCCTTTTAGTTAAACAAATTATTTATTTCTAGTATTTAATTTCACTTTTTTTTAATGCTGCTGTTATGTAGTTTTTGTGTACTCAACTTTTTTTTCCATTATTTAATTTTAAAACAATTATTTATTACTAGTTTAAGCGAAATATTTAATTATAAATAATTTTTTTTTATATCAAAATAAATGCAAAGAAATCAAATTTATTACATTTTATTTTAAAGGGGATAAGGGATAAGGATCAAGAGATTTTTAAATTTATATATATATTTTTTGTTTTGGGAAAATAGCAAGGAAATTCTTCAAGAAAATATAAGGATATTACTGGAAGTTGTAATAGAAAACCTATATATGTATATAATCCAAAAATATTTTATATATATATTTTATATACATTTTATATGTATTTAATACATTTAATATATTAAATATATTAAAATTTAACTTCCAATTTTTTTTTTTACAATTCGGTTGTTAAATTCTTCATTTTTTTCTACTTTATTTTGGTTATAGTTCAAAAATATTAATAAAATAATTCAGATATTAAAGGATCTGGTTCAAAGAGTTGAAAAATATATTTTTAGGAAGTAACATTTTGTGTTTTAAAAATGTATAATAAATAAAATATATAAATAAATCATAAATTTATTTAATTTAAAAGGCTCAAATTTAGTAAATAATAATAATAATAAAAGAAGTAAAATTTGTATCCAAATATAAACCAAAATTTGTTAAAGTCAAAAATAGATTTTAAATCGATTAATTTCGAGGTTATCTTACCTTTATTTTCATTATTTACAGTATAAAATATAGAATATAAGTATTCTAGCAAATATTTGAGGTATATATTAATATTATTCTTGTTCCAATAAAAAAGTAAACAAGAACCATGTTCTTTGGAGGCAAAACATCTGCTGTCTTCTTCCTGGGCTTAGCTCGTCTCCTGGTCATTTTTATATATGTATATTATATATATATATTTATACAGTTGCTTGACCAACCGATTTGCTTTGCTTTTCCAGGCGACCAAAACAAACAAGAAAACACAAGGGAACCCCCGGCTGAGAGACAGGTTGAATAGACGGCAGGACAGGTAGACACGGGTCAGGATCAAGCGGATGAGCGCGCGGTCCCGTGACAACGCCCCCGGAGTTAGCAAAGGGATACACCTACAGATACAGATATAGATACAACAGCTGGCCAACAGTCTTATTGTAGCTCGTGGATACGTAAAGATACGTAGATTCAAAGAGCAAGGAAAACACACAGCCTCAGCAGAGATGCTTGAGTAGCTATTTTCACAATATAAAAGTGGATCTATTTTGTTATAAATTAAATAAATATATATTTATATATACATTTATATATATACATTTTTTTTATATATACATTTCGATATAATAAATTTATATAAATATAAATAATATATTTATATACAAATTTTTGTATAGTTTTATTTCGTATTTTTTATTTTATAAATATATTTTATACAAGATGTATATAATATACTATATTCACTAATTTCTGATATATATTTTTATCTCTTAAAATATATATAAAAAAGGTTTCTGAAAATCCCACTATCAAACTCACCCTTATTTTTGCTTTTTCAATATTAAAGCTTAAAATAAGCCAACCGCGCAAGGCTTTTATATTATTAATATAATTATAAGCGGCTTTTTGGTACTTCAATTTAGCAAACGATCTTGATAAAGTATGTAATATATAAGGGTTTATTTAAATAAAAAAAATTCCAGAACCCAAAACAAATCCCAAAAGTGTTGAAAAAATCTTCAAAAACCAAGTAAATATTCAGGCTTTCTTCAAGTAAAAAGATAAATAAACTGCATTATGAAGTATATATATTAATATTTATATATATTTATATTTATATATGTATATTTATATTTTTATGTATTTATATTTATTTATATTTATATATATTTATATTTATTTGGTTATATATTTATGTATATATTCCCATAAAAATCTGGCTTGTTTTTAAAACCAAAATCATCACTGATCCTTGTCGCAGGACACTTGTTAACACTTTGACGCCCTCGCACACGCTTTTGGCACCGTAATTCGATTTGAGTGCGGTAAGGGTTTCCAAAGGATACAGGCCGTTGCAGGATACCATATAATATGTTGCGTATGAAAGGGCAGAAAGGCAGGGACAGCAGTGCGGAAGGAACCCGCTTCTTAATCCCCCCGAGATCCTGTCCGATCCTATCCGATCCTATCCGATCCGATGCGATGCCAGGCAACCTGTCATCGCCTAGCACATTCCTGTGGGCTTGTCCCTAATTTGTAGACCATTTAGACTGCGATGCGATAGATAATTGAATTATTTTTTATTGTTCATATTTCCTGGCAACTTCCCCGTATTCCCCGCTGGCTACACTTGCTCTGGGCTGGGAAGGGGATCTCCTCGCCGCCAGCTGTGCTCACCCGCATCGTTAGACCAATTTCCTAATGTCGCCAGTCTAGGTCACACCCCGTCTTAACCCTTTGTCTTTGCCTTTTACCTTTCTGCATTTACATTAGCATTTCTTGGCAACGCTTCCGCTTCTTGCGTTGCGTGTCACTTGGTTAATCGATAAAAATTTAATTAATTGCTTGTACAAGTGATAAAAAAAAAGAAAAAAACAAAGGAAAAACTACAACAAATGCTACGTGAGGACAGCAGTTATGGGGGCTTCCCTCAGAGTTCCCTTTCGAGCGGGTGTGGAAACTGGTCACAGCTGACGGGGCAGGGAAAAAAAGGGGTTACTTGGGGGCTACTGGGAAATGGAAATTTTGAAGAAAAACTTACAGCACCGGAATTCCTTAGTGGTTTAAAAAAGGTTTATTTAAGTTTTAGACGTTCTACAGACAAGATATCATTGAAGTATGCTTTGAAATTTAAAATTCATTATTGGTCGTTCAAATATATCGACAAATCGATAAGCTTTTTATCGAAAAATATGCGATTTATTAGATTTACTTAATTTAGTTCTAGGAGGGAATATATGTATATGTAATTCAAAAAGCCCTTTTAAAGTATTTTCTAACTATAAATAAATTTCGATTGATTTATCGATACACAATTTTAAATTGTCGAGAAATATGCGATTATAGTATAATTCTTGGAGTGAATATATTTGTACCTTTATAAATATAATTAAAATAGGTTTTTTCTAATAAAAAATAAATAAATAAATAATAATAATAAAATATTGATTGATTTATCGATACACAAACCTAATTGTTTAGATTTCTTTAAGTTATAAATCAAAAAGATTGATTTATAATGTTCTATTTTACCAATTTCTTTTAAGTTCCAAAACAAATATTTGCTCTTAATCCATGAAAAAATGTATTTATTTAAACCAACAATTTATAAATTTATCGATATGCCACGTGGACCTTTCAAATCGATTTATCGACTCCAAATCATAATGTTTCCTGCACTATTGATTTTTTTTAGTAAATATGTATATTTTGTATTTATATTAATCCGATTGATGTATTTTTTAAACTAAAAATTCCTTAATGGATCGATTGCCATTTTATCGTTTTTATTTTTTTTTAGCAAATATAATCTGTATTTAGATTTTAAATTAATCCCAAACAAAGCACCAGACGAGGCTAGTGAATATATATGAGTATAAGCAGCATAATAAACCCCGATTCCTGACAGTTTGCCATGCCCTTCGGCTGATCCTTCATTATGCAGTTAGTTAATCAACAGCTGTGGCCGCAGAAAGGAGGAAGTGCTGCGGCTGAAAAGGATTTTGAAATACAGAATTAACAACCGATCTGGCGGATCTCGAGAGCTCGGGGGCAGGACCAGATTTTTGCCAGATGCATCGGCATTCGCGAATCCTTCGACTCCCGACTCGTTCGGCTCTCCTGCTTACTGGTTTTCATTTTCATTTTCGTTTATTTCTTTTATTTTTTGCGGATGGTTGATTGACAAACAAGACTGCTGCCAACGCCGCGGGCAAAATTTTTGGGATTTGAGGGAACTTTCTTGGAGTCGCAATCGGAGTCGCGTCGACGGAGTCCTTAACTCGCGAATCAAAATTATTTCGCACTTGGCCCCGAGGGCAAGCAACTTTCTTTCTTTCTTTCATCCTGCGGCAAGCTGCAAGCAGGAAAAAAATAAGAGGAAACCGAAAAAAATCAAGCAGGGACCGCCAAAAGCTGGTAAGCCGGCTTAGGCCACATTTGTGTCCTGGCAGGATACTCCCCGTCCCGGATGGAGGCCTCTCTCTCTCTCTGTCTGCCATGGTGTCCTGTCAGTGAGTGTGTTCCAATAATTGCCAAATATTATGCAAACAATGGGCATCCAAATTGAAATCCCCGCTTGCCTCGCCGCGTGTGGCATCGCCTAGGACTCACAGGACTCGCTGGCATTAATATTTAAATCCCGGCAAGGGTGGTGGTGGCTTCGCATAATTATAATTCATTTTCCAGCGCGAGCCCCTAGAGCTGCTGCAATCTGTTAATGATAAACAAATTTTCCACTGCAATCTGTACAGCGGCGACAAATACAAAAAAAAAAAGAAAAAAATCGAAACTGAAGTGAAAGGGTTGCAACATTTTGTTGCAACGCCGCATGCTTGTGCTGCTGTCGCCGCCGGCGAATTATGTTTAAATAGAGGGGAAAATGAATTTTGCAAGTCCCCTAATTAGCTTACCGATCCCAATCGCAATCGGAATCGGCCTAGCATCCATCCATCCATCCATCCCGATCTGATGCCAATCTCTGAGCCCATGAAGTGGCCGGCCGCTCGAGAAGTGCGAAAGTCAAGAGTGCGGGACAGCGGATCATTGCACGGCAAAAAAATTAGCATATTCTGTGTTAATCAATTCGATTTGTTGCCAAAATAAATACCTAGGTATTGAGTATATGATGTTGTCTCCCACATTTATATATTTTTTTAAGGGCTTGTCAAGGCCTTGAAATATTTTAAAGAAATATTTTTAGTACAAATAAGTTACAATTTCTTTATAAAACTATTTATAAATATATTTTTAAACTATATTCAAATA